AAAAAATATATGGTCTGAAAAGCCATGGTGTTGTTTGTTTAGTTAAACTAGGTTTATAGTTTTTAATAGTTTTTAAGCTAAAGTCACCATTTTTATATTCACAGAATATTCAAAGTTGGAAGGGACCTCTAGAGATCATCTAGTGCAACCTTCCCACTCCAGCAGGGACACCCAGAGCACGGGGCACAGGGCGGCATCCAGGTGGGTTTGGAAGATCTCCAGAGAAGGAGACTCCATAACCTCCCTGGGCAGCCTGTGCCAGGGCTCTGGCACCCTCTGTATAAGAGGAGGAAAGATTCACAGCCTGTTTATGATCTGTAGAGGCCTTGAGACTACTGTGAAGCTGAGAACTAACCCGTTATCTGGTTGTAGGGAGTTTGAAGGCGGCTCTGCAGCTGCGAAAACAGGGGCCTTATCTGGTGGTGAGGAGCAACTGAGGAATTTGGAGGCAGCCATGCCAGGAGGCATGGGGCCAACCAAAACACAGCTGACCTCTAAGCCAGTTTGGAGGTCAAACCTGAGGCGAGGGAGAGGAAGATGAGGAAGGCGGGACCCTCATAACGAGACCAGAGACCCCCACTGGTGGGCGCGCATGCGCACACCCGGGAATATTGGATAACGAAAAAGGTGGAGCTTTGCCCGCCCTCTGGTACACCTCCTGACATGTGGTGGCCCTACATGGCGGGATGCGCCAGATATAAAAAATAATCGTGGATCAGAGGAGGAGAGAGACTTCCAGCCGAGACCAACGTTGTCTCCATGGGGACGCCCGCAAGCTTGGAGCCTGTCAGCCACCTCTGGTCCACGGCGGGGGAATGATCGGTCTCGCTGTCCTGCTGGCAAGTATCCTCTCGTAAGTAATTGCTACGTAGGCGCCTCGTTCCGCATGTAGTTGCTAAGTAGTCATCTTGCTTTAGTGTGATGTTAGTGTGAATTGTCCTAAATAAACTAAGGGGTGGATTTTGCTCTCAGTGTGTGTGCTTTCAACTGCCGAGCCCTGAACCCATCCAGAACACCCTCACAGGGAAGAAGTTCCTCCTCACCTGGACATGGAACTGCCTGTGTTTCAGGTTGTGCTCATTATCCCTTGTCCTATCACTGGCCGGCAATAAAAACAGCTTGTCCCCTTCTTCCCTGCATTCTCCCTTCATGAGCTTATATATGTTAATCAGATCCCCTCTCAGCCTTCCCTTTTCCAGAGAAAACAGGCCCAGCTCACACATACGAATCTCTCCTCATACGAGTGATTTTCCATTCCCTTAATCATCTTAGTTGCTCTTCACTGGACCCTCTCTAGAAGCTCCACGTCCCTCTTATACCAGGGAGCCCAGAACTGCACACGGTACTCCAAGTGCGGCCTCACCAGAGCGTGAGTACTCCAGAGGGGCAGGATCCCCTCCCTTGACCTGCTGGCAACACTCCTCCTGATGCAGGCCAGGATCCCATTGGCCTTCTTGGCCATGAGGGCACACTGCTCACTCATGGTTAACTTGGTGTCAACCAGGACTCCCAGGTCCCTCTCCGTGGAGCTGCTCTCCAGCAGGTCGAGCCCTAATCTGTACTGATGCCTGGGGTTATTCGTCCCCAGGTGCAGGACCCTGCACTTGTCCTTGTTGAACCTCACGAGGTTCCTCCCTGCCCAACTCTCCAGCTTGTCCAGGTCCCTCTGGATGGCAGCACAGCCCTCCGGAGTGTTGGCCACTCCACCCAGCTTGGTGTCGTCTGCAAACTTGCTCAGGGTGCAATCTGTTCTTCTTTATTGAAGAACAGAAGTCACTTTGGTAGTTTAATTTTTAATTAATTTTAATTTAATTTTAAATTTAATTTTAATAGATATTCTCAAGTCAAATTACTTGCTAAAAACTAGAAGAAAGATTATGTTTGTTTCACAGATTCATAATAATTGTGCTGGTAATACTGTCTCTTAGAGCAACAGAAGGCCTATCATCTAGCACATGTACCTGTTACTGTTACTGTTCATGACAATACATGTTACAGTTCATGACAGTTGTAGAGCTTGCAGAGAAAAATGCTTTGGACAATCATTTCTGTTGCCAAAATAGAAAATTCTGAAAGAAAGTATATAATGGGCATTTGGAGTAGAATCACACTGAAATTTGCTTTCTTGTCAGCTGAGCTGGGGAGTAGCAGAATTCATGTAGTTCATTTTCCTGTGGGAAGAGGTTTCTTTGGATTTTTATGGAGCAGAAAGGTCTAGAATTACAGAGGATTTCTGACTTTATATGTTCGAAGAAATTAAGTAATGAGTAGTCACTGTCTTAGAATAATAGAAATGCACGTCTGAATTTTCTCTTTAGTGAAATTAGAGTGGATCTTGCCAGTATTAAAGTAACACGTAACCCTTCAAGGGTGACCCGTGGAAAACAATAAAAAGACACTTGTAGGTTTTTAAGCAATTTTAACAAATACTTAAGATGCAACAAAACTTCCTTAAAATTGAGTAGGAGACTTTTGTGTAGGACTAAGATTAAGTCTGCCTTAAGAGCTTGAGCTCAGACACTGTACCTATTAATCATGCTTTGCATAAATGCTTATCAATGACTGCATTTAACTAGCAGGAATACAGTTATCAGACGCACTATTTTCTTATCTTTGGTTATATAGGTGGTTTCTATGATTCTTTATGATTGGTTTCTTTGGTTTTTTTTTTTACTTTTTAGGATTGTATATATGGAAAATAAGGAGAGAAAGAAAAGAAGTACATTAATCAGTACCACAGTTGTGACTAGGATATGTAAGAACAAACCTGGGTTTCTTCTAAGATTTAAAAGAAAAAAAAAAGAAAAGAAAATCCCTCAAATTGCAGAAGCCGATTTATGTAGTTTTTAATGCCTCTGATTTCATGTTCTTTTTGTTATTTCATTATTTACACTTATTTTTTCCTGTATTCATTCATACAAAGCCTAATATTTGACATGTAGTATTGGAATCTTGGGAGGAGTATTTGACAGCCGCATGCTTTTAATTCTTCACATGGGAGGAGGAAAGAATCATATTAATTCCTAGATACTCCTTTTTGAAGTTTCGAACTTCTAGAATAAGTGTTGTGTGCCGTGTTTGAAAGGAAATAGCTGATGTCATTTCCTAATGCTGTAAGCACACTTGTTTCTATGTGCTTTTTCTGCATACATATACAAATTGCATTTATTTTACTAAATCTCTTTCTAAATTGACTTTGTTAAATTGGTACAACCCTGATTCTGCTGAATTAGAGTGCTTTAATTTAGCTTGTTAGGAAATTAAGCTAAATCAATGTAGTTCACTTATGCTGATTTAAGAGAGCTAAGTTGGCCCAGTTCCCTAGTGCGTGTGGGTGCGTGTTTGAACTATTGAAAAGAAATAAAGGGAAGGTCATGTTACGTGCCTGACAATCCTGGAATTGTTTTCTTCTCATTTTTCTCTGGAAGAAACCCAGCTAAAACAGGAAGTATAGAATAAAGTCAGAAAGAAAGCGAGAAAGAAATCAGAAGATGTTTTCATTATTTTGCACCTGAGGGACTAGTAAAAGTGTATTATTAGTTTGGGTAGATTGTCGTGGGTAGGTTTGTACGTTTGGGTAGGTGTCAGGGTCCGTTCATAACGGAGAAGATTTCTTCATGTTGCAGCTCTCTTCCATGGTTAGTGCCTGCCTGGTAAGTTATGTTCGTACCAGAGTAATGAATGGCAATTGTGAGTATTTGTGTATATTAATAAATCAAAAACAACAAAAAGAAAGCAGGCATTTCTGCAAGAAAACTTTAAAAGTGCTTACCCTGCCCCAAATCTTTGAACTATATTCAGATTTAAGTATTTCAAACTCTGGCTACTTACTGGGCTTGTGACTCTGTCAATCACGGTTTCAGGGGTATTGCTCAGAAAAGTTCCTCCTTCCTCAAAGAGAAGAGCAGCCTCCAAATCATTTCTATATATATATATAGAAACAAATTCTGTATTTTTAGCACACAAATTAATGTACTTGTTGTCTATTTATGTTAAATTTTGGTGATATAGTGGATTAGAGATGGTACCAGAGGCACTGTTTCAGTTATGTAATCTTGGTTGAGGTCTGAGGTCTGGATAGGATAATGATGTTGAACAGCGTATGACATTAACTTCACAAATATAATCTTCAGTAAAAAGGGAAAAAAAAATGTAGTGATCATCCTAATTTCTTTATTCCCTTTGTCACAGTTGAACAGATGAATCAAGTGGGTTGTTCAGAATCTAATATTTTCCTGGGCAAAAATACTTAAGTTAAAACTGCTAAATTAAGAAAATTTTCATCATTTTATGGGAAGATCACATTGCTTTCCTGATTACAATTCTGCGAAGTGATTTAAGACCCAAAGACCAAATTGAGATGGTCTTCCAAGTCTTCATTGTAGGTCTTCATCTGGAAACTGACTTCAGCACTCACAAGACTTAACTATGAATGTCTGTGCAAAACAGGCATTGGAAGCCTGTGCTTCAAAGAGAAGGCTAGTATTTTTGCATTTGCATGCTATGTGCTTGCATTTTTCTGTCCAGTGTGTTTTAAGAACACTTTAAGAATACTCTGTCCCACCGCGCAGGTCACTAAGCAAAAAAACAAACAAGGAATCTCAGGTACCTGTAGAGCAAAAACTTTCATTACGGAGCATTTCTCCCTTCTGCCTGTCAGAACTCATCTCCTTTTAGTTTTTGAATGATGCAGGTATTGATGTGACTGTGTCAGGCAAGAAACCTTCCTAGGGTTTCTTTGCTCCATAGAGGTATTTAGGTGATCATTAAAGATACTTTGATGGATGCTTCCACTGGACAACGCTGTTGCGCTCTACAGCTGTATGATGGTAGTGGCTCTCAGCATGATTCTGTGTCGATCCTGTTCTGTTCAAAAGTTTCAGTGGAGCATGAATAGAAATGTCGTGAATTTATTTCCTCACAGCTAATACATTTTCTCTCCATTTAAGGGCAAGACTCATCAAGTAACTATATCTTTTTTTTTTTTTTTTTTTTTCCAGAGGAATGTCTTTTAGTTTCAGAAGAATGATGTTCTTCATTCCTTTGGAGGACATGCATGCAAACTTCATCATGTGGCATCAGTCTGGAAAAAAGAGATCCTGAAATCAAAGGAGAGGTGCAGACCTACCTTATGAATATTCTGGAAGGTTTTGTAGGAGGTTGGATTCGCGTTAGTGTGAATTTTAGTACATCTACCCTTAGTTCCATCAGGATGGAAAGTGTCTCTGATTAATTACTTGCACTTTGCATAAGAGGAAAAAGAATCTTATTTTTCTTTAAATCTGCATTCAGAGTATGTTGTCAAGACTCATACCTCACTGTACTTAAGTGGCCTATTCTGCTTAATTTTTTCTGGTTTGTGTTTGCTGATTGAACATTAAGCAGAGCTGTGTGTGATCCCTGTATCTTGAAGTACCTTGTCTGGCAAGGACAACTGTGCTTAACGTGAATTAATTGTACTTGTGAGGGCTCACTATTACTAAAACTTAAGGTAGCAGGTTAGAAACAACAAAATGGAAAATGTATTTGGCAGTCACTTTTGAGGGAAAAAAAAATCATAAAATAAGTTTGCATTTGATAGTGAGGTTAAAATATGTTCTGTTATCCAGCATTGACCCATGTTGAAATAGTCACTGCTTTCATTGCAGATCTGCCTACTTTTGGGAGGGAAAAAACTTATGTCACGAACTGTTTCTTTACTGCAGCTCATGGATGGCTTTGCCCAGTGCCCTGAATGGTGTAGGGAAGCTCAGGTGTGGATGGGAAGGAGTAATGGGCCTGTGTCATCACGTGGGCACATGCAGGACTGAGTTACATGGGAGCATTCTTGTTTCTTGGAGGGCACAGAGATGCATGATGTGAATAAAAAGTGAATCTGCTGCCTTGCCCTTGTGCCAAGTTCAGAGTCTCCGGGAAGCGGCTGATGGTCTGAGTTTGCTGCTAGCTACCCATGCACCTGCACCCGTGTTCCTGATGTGGCAGGAACTGTTTGCCCAAAATAATTATGTGTTGTAACAGTTAAACAAGGTATTAGATTATTAGGCAGGAGTTAGGTAGGGGTTTTTTTGATGTTTTCATGTCCAGTTCCTGGAGAATCTCACTAGACTTATTCCTGCCTCAGTAGTAGGTCCCTAGCTAAGCCCTAACAAGTTGGTCTGCCCTACTGCAGAGTTCTCCTGAGCTCCTGACAAGACATTTGTCTTTTGAAGGGAAATGTTTTTAAGGAGGCTGGACCACATGGCTCATGGGGTGATGGATGCAGACTGTGAGGGCTGCAGGCAGGGAAAGTCCATTTCCTTTTGGAAAATGAGAACGTATGGTGGCCATTATGCAAATAAAAACATAAAGGCTAGGGCTCCCTGCAGCGCTCTGTTCACAGAGGAAGTTTATTAAGGAGTACATCTGTCTGGCTCCCCGTATCTCCTACAAAGAGCCGCCTAGTTGTCCTCTGCTGGGTTTATGTTGGCCGTCTCTGGGCACACAGCTGCCTGCTGGCACTGGCTGTTGCTGGAGCAGCAGGGGCTGCCGAGAGGGGATTTTGAGGGGCCTAGTTGCTGCAAGTGGTGGGGCCGCCTGCTGCCTGAGATGGTCACCGTATCCCCAGGGTTTTTGCCCTTCCCTTTTTCTCTTCTGCTTCATTCTTAAAGGAAAACCCTTGCTCTTTTAAAGTTGTTATTAAAGCCGTAATTTACAGCTCAGTTTCTGATACCTCAATAGACTTCTGTCATAACTCTAAAAAGAAATTATCTAAGAGCTTTAAAAGAAAATGGGCAATTTGGAGCCCAAATACTTTATCCCAGATCTCTGATATTCTAGCTTGTAACTGCTAAGATAGTGAAGTAAGAGCTGCTCGTAGAGAAAGGAGGGATGCAGCCTTTTTTTATCCTTCAGTGCACCATCTGCAGATAGCAGTATGAAAGAAAAATGCCTTGTCAGATAAGCCTAAAACTTATTTAATAGATTAGAATCTTTTTCAACATAGCATATGTTAAATGCCAAACATGTCTGAATGGTTATGAGCAAAAAGTAATAGCAGGCTAATGTGATAAGATAAAATAAACAGAACCATTTTTCAAGTTGCGCACGGGGAAACATGGGCTAAAACACTGTTACTTTCTGTTCAGCATTTGTAATATGAATTGAAAGCTATGTTTCTGCTTTCTTCTGGTCTCCTGAGGTAAACACCTGTTTTATTATATTACATGGACCATAGCTGATAGGAAGAGATAACAGTGAGGATGGAAAAAGTCTATGTAGATTGCATTTATTTCAGGCTCCTGAGAGGTGTTTTTTCATTGCAAAATAATCACAACAGGAAAATCCATTTAGCTAAAATAGCTGTGATAAGGAAGAACACCTCTCTTTTCCCTATGCTTTTTCCTTTATGTGGTCCCCAGTGGAGAAGCTGCTATTCATGAAGTTCCTTGGTGCTCCTTGGAAGTTTGCCTTGAACCAGGTCCTGCTAGTGAGTCCTAGGGCTAATGGGCTCAGTCTGGGGCGTCATTCTGCGTGCCAAAAAGAGGATCAATTGAGGGAATGGGAGCACGTGCAGTGGCGACCAGATCGAAATACTGTTGTATTAAAAAATCTTCTCAAAAAGGGGGATGAAATGATAAAACTAGATAAAATTAAGTTTTAGCATTTTGTCCCCGTTCTTTCCCAAGTCAGCCTTATAATACAGGACTTAACAATATGGAAGATTTGGTCACTGACCAGTCAAGAAGAGAAAAAAAAAAAAATACAATGTAAGAGTTATTGAGTTATTGTTTCCTACATGAATGTAATGATCCTGACTTGATGATTCCATAAATAGGTTAAATAGGGAGCCATTTCCCATGCATTTGATCAGTGAGCTGGTTTCTCAGTGCTGCTTGGTCTGCGTCTCACAGCACCTACGAAGAAGCTCTTCCAGGACTTACCACCACCAGTGATGAGGAGCTCTATTTCAGTCGTTCACTCAACTTACTCAGAACTTGTTCTTTTGCCAGCCTCAGTTTTCTTAGCTGAATTATTTCTTCTTACTCTCTCTTGTATTTGTATTGTGATTTATTTGCAGGGAAGAATTTTGTTTCCTTTTTGGCCTTTTGAGTGGTTAATCAAGCTAAGTTCTTTCAGTTTTCCATTGTTCTAGTTGCCCTCATCCAACTTTGTGTCAGTAAATTTAGGAAAGATTAACATGAGTGACCGGAAGTGTACCCAGCACTCTAGATGAGATTTTTAGTCTAACATTCATAAATTTCTAGCAGATAGAGGTCTGTGCAAAAAATTTTTAGTAGATACGCAGTAAGATTGTTCATCTTTTTCATAACTCTGATGCACTGATTTTGGTTCTGGTTTGTGTTATGAGCAAAGCAGGCAAGTGCTTTACTGGGACAGGGGCAACAAACAGGCACAGCTGTACTGTTTTCTCTGCCCTTCTTTACCAAGGAGAGCCAGGCTGCACTTTAGGAGAGATCAAGATGTGTATAGAGTTTAGCTACTGCTGAAGACAATTTGAGGCAGCAAGGATTAACCACACTAATGACTAGCATTGATTAACCAAAGTGATTAACCTGCACAGGGCTGGTTCTCACTTCTCATCCTTAAAACAGTAAAATTTAGGTTTGCCTTCATTGCCTAGAAACATTGAGTTGAATTGCCTTGTGGTGAACAAGTATGCACAGGTCTTTATCCTGTAGGTCATAGATAGTTAAAAAAAAAAAAAAAAAATCTTTCTCGGCTCTTACATGAGTTATTAAATTCAGACTGATGGTTGTTATTCCAGGCCACAAAATTGTAGTGTTTCTGCATGATACTGTGGCCTTTTATATTATGGTTTCTCTTAACCTTGTGTCGTCAGACAATGTATATTTTGCCTACATCTTGTATGACACTTCTTTTAGATAGTGTGGTCTTCAGTAGTTTTCCACGTAAATAGGTATATAAATAAACATATTTGAATGTTGCCAGAGCCAGACCCACTAAGTCTGGGTGTCATGAAACAAATCTAGGAGGAAATTGTCAGTTGTCAGATGTCTTTTCCTCATGCTTTCCAATTCTTGCTGCTTTGCTGGAGAGAAGAGAGTGAATGTAAAGCACTGCATCTTCTTAACCTGTGAATGACAATGCTTTTTTCTGAATGTGCTGTGAATATATTAAACATTTCTACTTGGTAATGGCTTTTTTGCTTTACCATTGTGTAAGAAAATGTAGTTTGTTCATATTAGAAGGACATGCAATATTGATATATAACTAATTACTAGACTAAGTTTAATTCAAGTAATAATGTGCCATACACTCCTACGTTGGTGACTGTTACAACCTAGTGTTATGGCAGGGAAAGGGCTGTAATGCACATTGAGAGAAGTGCACAGACTGTCATCGTACGAGACTTTCTTAAATACCTAAGGGGTCTCCTACTCTACTGTAAATCAATATGCTAAAGCAAGAGCTGCACCTTCTAAATGCCTTGCTCTTCTTTCTCTAGCCTTTGTACCATAAAGCCAAAGATTGGGGTGACCTTTTATCCCAGACATAATTAGACAGGCGTTTGAACTGCGTGTTTAAAACTTCTTCTTTCTTTTTAATAGAAATGCTTCTCAAATGCAATGCAACACATGCAAAACGGTGTTTTAGACTTGCCACTTGGTCCTTTCTGTTTCGCCTTGCTTTCCTACCTGTTGTGGAAAGGCCCATCCTTTTCCCAGTTGTTTCTGCTCTGCACTTGTGCAGTTCAGGATGATCTTGGAGTTAAGCATCCAGCAAGGATCTGTGCAGTGGCAGAATGTAAAAGCTCAGATTTATTTTTCATTTGGTTTCATATGTTAGATGTATTTCAAAATAAATTTACTAAATCATCTATTGATTCTCCTTTAGGACTGATATGGGATGTTCTTGTTCTGATAATTCATTAGTGTGCAAAAAGGAAAAGACCCCCTTTTTCCAAATGACATACTGCATAGTTCAGGTGAATGGAAGGCTCAATTCAGGACTGTGACGTGCGGATTTCTGTGTGTGTATAGAGGTATATCATGTATACATAGTTTATATATGTGTGTATATATATATATATATATATAAAAATTAGCAAAACTTATCAGCTGAATAACACCACAGAAGAGTATTTGAAAGGAGAAAAATCACAGTTTATGAAGAGGTCCTGCACAAAAGCAGGTCGCAAGCTGAAAGACATGCTATTTGCAGAGGTTTGGGAGACAGGTTCTTTAATCCTATGCAGAAGACTACTCAGGATTAATCAGAACCTAATGTGGTTAATATTTTGGGACTTTGTTAGGTGCCTGCATTGTTCTGGACTTTGAGAGTTGTCCGTTATCGGATAACCAAGTTGCCTTCTCTTTTATCTGCATTTGCCATACATTACTTTTATCATTCAAAAGAGAAAATAACCACTTTCTATTACTATTTAATGCAAACAGTTTAAATAATGACAATAATCAAGTGTCTAAACTCTTTGCCTTAATTCTTCATTATGGTTCTCCCTTCAGTAGTGCCACCAACTCTGCCTAGTTTCTGGATTTTGTAACTTTGAGGTTTGGACTGCCTATAAAAAAGTTTTTCTGTGTAATTAAGACTACGTAAGAGTATGTAGCACACCAAAAATATACTGAAAACACATTTGCTTGTAAGAATTTATTATACCTCTTTTTATATTTTGCAGCTATAAACTTCTTGGCATAATATTCCACCTTCACGAGATGCTAATAAATATATATTTAGAGGGAGAAATGAATGCACTATGATCTAGGAGTCACTGGTAGGAGAAAAATCCATTTTGTCCAGCTTCCCTGGAAATTAATTGTTTGCATATTTGTTATTGTGCAAGACCTGTTGAACTTTGTTCTATACTCAGACTTGCCAACTTTTTGATGTTCAATGCCCTGAAATGCCAAGCATATTTAAGAAGAGACACGAGTGACAGGATGTGTTTGATTATAGCCAGGGATAGGGGCAAGTACATAGTCATTAAAGTGCACTAGAAATCTGTCCACTGTGGTATTTGAGTTCAATATGTTAGGTACGTGTAAATACAGAAGAAAGTAAAGCGTTTCAAAGTGCAAAGGTCTTCTGTGTTTAGAATTCTTCATATTTTTGTGTGTTTAAGTATTTATGAATTTATAGGGGAAAAATTGTTCACAGTTCAAATTTGGAGGAGGATGTCTTAGAGGAAAGTAGGAATAACCAAGCTTCCATATGATTTGAAATGGTAAATTTCTTTGTTAAAAGGTAGTTGATCTTCTAAGTGGAGGCTTAATCGCCTTTATTGTAATCTTTTCTAACACCTCACATGAACCAGTTACTCCTTTGGACCTGAACAGCAACCAACTTATAATCACATGCTTTATGATATATCAGAAAAACTTGTTTATCAGTTGTTGATTAGATTACTAGATAGCGCTTGAGTACAGGTGTGTGATTTGTTTGGGATTTTTTTATTTGGTTGGTTTCTTTTCCCCTGACCTTTGTGTACCAAGTTGAATTCAAAATGATTTTAGCACTTTCCGTTGATGGCTTTCTCCATGGTTGTGAAAGCAGAGCTATGGGAATGCCCCTGGCTCACCTTGCCTAGCACCTGTCAGGTTTAGAAAGCTGAAAGATGAGACAGATGGGTCCAGGGCCCTTCATGGGGATGCACGGAATCACTATGGAAAAGACCTTGAAGGTCATGGAGTCCAGCTGTAAGCTCTTCAACACGGTGCCTGTTACAACGCAGGCCTGCTGCGCCGTGGCCTCTGCCTCCCCCTGCTTGTTGCCCACGCTCTGTGCGTTGATGTAGATGCACTGCAGCTGGTACTGAGCCTCCCCAACCCTGGCGCGCAGCCCCAGGCTCATCTCTAGTGATCCTGGTTCTACACCCCTTCCCCTTCATGCCTAGTGTGAAGTCCTCTCGATGATACCATCAGCTCCTGGGCAAGGATTCTTTCCCTCCCGAAAGACAGGCGAGCGCGGTCTCTCCCCTGGAGGTCCGGTGCTGTAAAATTTGCCTCATGGTCAAAAAACACAAAATTGGACCACTGCCACCCGCTTCTTAGCAGTTCACTGAGGAGGTGGGTTTTCCTCCTCTCGGCGTCCTTCCTTGACTGAGGGGAAAGGCAAGAACACCAATTCCCTGAACTCCTGAACTCCTGCTTCCTCAGCCAGTCTCCACAATGTCCTGAAGTCCCTTTTGATGGACCCTAGGCTTCACTTGGCAACTTCATTGCTGCCAGCCTGGAAGAGCAATAGCGGGTAATGCTCAGGGGGCCGTACAAGACCTGGGAGCCATTTTGTGGTGTCCCTTAGCTACGCCCCAGGGAGGCAACAGATCTCCGTGGGGGAAGGGTCTGGTCAGCAAACTGGGCCCTCCGTTCCCCTCAGAAGGGAACTGCCCGCATGATTTGGACAGGATGCTCTGGGTTCTTGTTATAGAATCATAGAACCCTTAAGGTTGGAAGGGACCCCAGAGGTCATCTGGTCCAACCCCCCTGCTCACGCAGGGTCACCCAGAGCACGTGGCCAGGGCTGCATCCAAGCGGGTTTTAAAGATCTCCAAAGGAGACTCCACAACCTCTCTGGGCAGCCTGTGCCAGGGCTCTGTCACCCTCACTGTCAAGAAATGTTTCCTTAAGTTCCTGCAAAACTTCTGGTACTTCAGTTTGTGGACGTTTCCTCTAGTCCTATAGCTGGCCACCACTGAAAAGAGGCCACCCCCTCCTCCTCACTGCCTCCCTTGAGGTATTTATAGACACTGATCAGGTCCCCCCTCAGCCTTCTCTTCTCCAGGCTGAACAGACATGATGAGATGAGGGAGGAGAAAGGCAAGGAGGAGGGATGAATAAATATATGCCAATATATTGGCATATAAATGAATAAATGCCAAACTTTTGGCTTCAACCTTTCTTGAGAAAGTAGAATTTTTCTTGTCTTATTTTGCCAATTGTTGCCTGGGACAAACCATCTCACTGGCACCAAAACAGAAGAACCAACACAACGACTTTACTGTTGTCTTTTGCAGCCCTCACCTGCTCTGCCTCTTCTACAAGTGCTCTGCATGGTCACATCTTCTGCAGGAATATACTCTGTAGCTCCTCTGCATGTGGCAATGCACACCCACTTGAGTTCTTTTCCACACGTTAAATGTTTGTGTCTCATGCTGGTTGGACTTGCAAAAACATTAAAAAAAAATCTTCACCTAAAAGATGCTGAATTGTAAGGAAACTGAAATGGCTGTCATACTACTAGAAAGCGTTAGTGCCAGCCTGAGAGTCATTCAGCTGCTCGTGGTCTCTCTAGGAGTCCATCTGATATATTATGGCACCCCTGTGCAGTGGAGTAAAGTGCAGTTTGTTGGAACAGAGCTGTGAGATTGTGCTGAGACCTGAGACCTCATCCTCATTGTGAGCAGCAGCAGCCTGGTAGGCAAGGCGTGATGGTGAACCATGCTAAACCAGACAGAGCTTCTCCAATTCACTTCACCAGGAATCAAGAAATCTCTTAAGGCCTCTGCAATAAATGCTTGAGTCCTGGCATCAGTAGTGACTGATAATTTTGGAGTAATCTTCACCTCATAGATGTCATGCTAGAGAAGTAAATCCTCATGTCTTCTCTATTTTCCTGAGGAGCGAAGAAGCCACAGCAAATATTCCTGTTCAAAAATCTCCTTTCATTGATTATACTGGGTGGCTGCTTCCATTTTTCTTTCCCAGGCTGGGCTTAAGGACAGCTGTGTAGAGCCCGGGTGAAGGTTTCTCTTGCCCAGTGTTGTTCTGGAGGCGGCCGGCTGCAGTCAGGTGCCTGGGGGGGATCGTAAGAGTTTCTGCAGAAACCTGAATCAGCCTCTAGCAATCCGAGTGCAGGTGCTGCCCCAGCACGGGATCACCGAAGCAAGGAAGGGTCTTTTCAGCCTTGTGGCATCATTTGCTCGTTTCGGAGAGAATAGGTTTGTGGTAAGACCTATGAAAAAAATCAGTTGTCCAACCACAGTTTTTCATAGCAGGAAAAACGCGTTTCTTACCATTAATGTCTTACTGAAAGAATCAGAAATTGAGTCCTTTAACTCCTTTTAATTTTTTGTTTGAATGTTTCAATCTGACTTGCTTTTTTGTTGCTCTGATAGAACTTCTGTCTTTAGAATATATCTTTTCCTGTAAGCATTTGTGCTGCTTCCTATTGAACTGATGCTATATAAGACTCCTTTTTCTTGGTTACCAGCCACTCCTTTCTGCTTGGTTACCTTTGTGATTTTCCACTCACGAGTTGTCTCTTCTGTCTAACATTAAATTGCTCTGTGCAGTGAAATATAAAAATAAGATTTTGTCTATAATATATTCACAGTTTGTATTAATCTTCTTTTCTGCATCCCTCTCTTTGTCTGTTTTATTCATATTCTAAGTCATCTTTGCATAATTTAGATTTTAAAATCTTCAAGGGAAGGACGTTTTCCTTTTACAATCTCTTTTAAGGATCATACAAAGTTAATAGGTTGTATAAATGCATAATAATTATAATGCACATAGAAATACATTTTTAATAATATAATGTTCTGCAGATATGTGAAAATTCTGTAGGGTTGCTGCTTTAGATGTTGACTTTCAGGATCAAATTTTCTAAAATAATGGACTTCCTTTTCCCTTTTAGGTTTAGAGGTGTAGGCCATACAGGTATGCAAGGCATTAATTGTGCTGCGTAATGCACACAGGCAGACTGCTAAATCTGTATGTGTGTGTGTGTTTGCTACCAATATGAATCTTACTAACTCCCAGTAGACAGTAGGGCTTATATGTGCATTGCAGAAAAACTGCAAATTAGGTATCTCAATACGTGTCTCCCCTAAAGTTTCTTTGCAAAATTTAGATGCAGAAGCAGAGGTCTGGATTGGAGGGGTGCTCTGCAGCGGAGCCCCGCATGGGGGGGTCGCGCAGTGTCCTTTGAAGCAGCTCCCCTCCATCCGCACCTTGCTCACTCCTTTCAGCCCGCTTAATAAAGCTGAGGGAGCCAGGTAGCTGATTTGGTTATTGCGTGAGCAAGCCGACAGGAACTGCATCTCTCTTTAGACTGTACATTTATTTATTTAATTAAAATCTTTTTTTTAATATCTGCTTCCAGAAGAAGTCACATTTAAGTAGAAGAACACGCAGAGGAAGCACCAATAGAAAGTTAAGATGAAGCAGAGACTGGGAACTAAATGAAGGACCTGCTGTGCAGACTGCTAAAGATTATTTAAAGAAGACATTATAGCAGTCTCTGTGAGAGAGCAGTACTTAACATTTGCAGGTGCATTGGCAGTCACATCTTAACGACGATTGTCTGCTGCGAGCAGCACTGTCGTTACCAGCAACTCACTGCTCTTAGTGTATCGTTCAACCTCTTAAGTTCTGTCAAAGTGATTTTGTGCTGTGCTTAATAATACGTATGTGACACTTTTGGGTAGTTATTGGCTTCCTCTCTCTATCAGAGTCTGCGGGCACTCTCATTAGTTCTTTTGCAAACATTATTGTGTACTTACTTGTGTACTCTGATGATGTGAATAACTCTAATTTTCATTTGAGGAAATTCTGGTTGTCAGACGGCTCTCTTCTCCATCTATTGCAAGAGCCCTTCCTTATTAAGTAGCACGGTGCTCAAATAACACCATTATGCATCTTTTGAACTGTTCTTATAGTGTTTTTATTTGTATTTATTTTAAATGTATATTTTGAAGATGTTTAAACATAAGCTAAAAGAATACAGGTTACATGTAAAATTCAAGTGTATATATAAATATATATACATTAACTTACTATTGAACTAACTGCTATTTCCATGGACATTGTTAGAGATGATCACCACTCTGAGGCATTTCTTTAAAAAATCCTATTCTATGTTATATTTATCTTTTTGACATTTTTTTCTTGTTTAAGCAATATCGTTTGTTATGTAACATTCATATTAAAGAAAGTCAAATTCAGTGTTATTTTTCAACACTAATAAATTATCTTCTATGTTTTCATTCTCCTACTGCCTTGACCTGTAAGATGAGACTTTGAATATACCTCTAAAAATCACAAACAGTAGTCTCTGCCTTTTCAGATTCGTGATGTGTTCTGCTTTGGCCACAATTGTTTATATTTTAAACTTCTTTGTCAATTCTGCATATTCTTTTCGCACCTCCTGATGGGAGATCTTTTTATTATTCCTTCTAGCACTGTCTTAAGTCATTGTGCCATTTCATTTTAGAGTTTCCTGTCCAAGAATGAAATCTGGACCAAGGGGAAATAGGTGGCCAGGTACATCAGTTCTACAAAACACAGAATTTCTTCGTACCAGTTTGTAATGCTACAGTCCTTTTATTTGACTCCCAATGCTTCCTGCCAATTATTTAGAGTGGGGCGCTTATTTTCTCTTTGCTCTATGACTGTACGAAGTCTGGTCTAGACATTGGATCGACTTCTCTCATGCTGCTGACGTCAAGACAAATTACAGGCCTTCTCAGAAAGAGAAGCCAGCAGGAGTGATTGGCTGTTACGTTAGCCAAGGCTTTAATGACATTTAGAAACATCAGTACAAAAGCCTATAGGGTCCAGCCAAGTTCAACTGAGAAAGCTTTCACTGGCTCATTGCATTCTGTCTTACTCTGACATCAAGTCCCTGTGCAAGTATATTGCATTTGCACCATTCTCACACTTGGTATTTGAAATGGAATTGAGAAGGGCAAAACTAGTATCTGATCATGGCTCAAAATAACTGTCTTAGAGCATTTGGATTTTTTTTCATCTTCTTTGTGTGCTTCATAAGCCCCCAAAAGATGTGCCATGTTGTTGTCAAGTGGTCTTGAAGCTTGAAGAAGCAGGATTTTTTCCTACTTTTGCATTATAAGACTGCATATTTCTATAGTAAGTTGTAGGGGATGATTCCATCACCCTTTCCCCTATCTCCCTCCCCTCAGGAGGGGAAACAAAACAAAACAAAATAATCAAAATATCTTTCATTACTAATTGCCATCCTTGTTTTGATATTATGGGCTTTTTTTGTGTAGCAGTCGAGTTTAGCTCTTGGAATAAAATACACTACTCAGACCAAAAAAAAAACAACAAAAAGCCACACTTTATACTCCAAGTTCTTATAGTTCTTGTAGCTCCTGTATTACTATTATCATTTACCATTCCTTCTTTTTATCAGTGCCAAGGATAACTAACACCACACGCCTTAACTGGATGCTCTCTGCAGCTGCTAGAATGATTTCAATTTTATTAAGATACATTTTCATAATTTGTAACCTGCTAGTTCTGAAAGGCCTTTTGCACAGATGGATTTCATAGTCATGTTTTAAACCTGAAAAAAAATGTATATATTTCTGCATATATGTATTCCTTTGCGTGCATATATATGTGTGGTTGTTTATATGCCTGAATCCACTTTATCAGTTGATCTGTTTGCGTTTTGGTTTCTGCAGTGCAGGACACCTGCACTAACCACCTGTGCTTTGCAGGCAGGCAGCTAATAACTTATAATGATCCTCTGTTGAAGACTTAATTACCTGTATGTAGTTGCTGTTGCTCACACCGTTGCGGGCTGTAATTGCTGGAAACTTAAGTCGTGTTGCAGTGTGTGGGTGCTGTGCATGTGTGTGCGGGGTTCAACCCAGGGTGACACAGTGGTTGGCGAGTGGGTATGATCTTCATTGAGCTCAGTAGCTGCTCAAAACAGCTATGGCAGAGGTGTGAGATGAATTATAGTGTTGACTGTTAATTTCTGCTTTGTATATGTTATTTGACTGCATCCTTAAAAATACTGCTTTTTTAAAAAAAGTGCTTCAACAGAGTGAATTGCTTGATTTTCCACAGAAAACACTCACAGAATTGCTTAATAATAGCTCTTCAATTGTATGCCTATTCTAATACCTTTTTTTGTGACAGAACACAAATATCAAGCCAGAATTGTGCCATAATCGGATGGAAAAAGAATGAAGTATTTGATGGCTTGCAGTAGTAGTTGTGTGTCTGTGAAATGGATAGATTAATTTTGTCAGAGTTGGTGAAATTGGAAGGACCTCTAAGGATCCTTCCAGATCTAAGGATCTGAAGGTCCATTCAGATTCCTCAGATCTGTGTCCAGTCAGATTTTGATTCTGAGGATGGAGACACCACAACTGGTATCCACCCCTGTTGGATACCTCACTGTAAAGAAATGGAGGAGTTTTTTGGCGTTTTTTTTTGTGGGGGTTTTGCTATTTGCTTTTTGGATTTTTTTTTTTATAGTGGTGTCTGTGTTTTTATGATTAAGTGGAATTTCTGAATTTCAGTCGTGCCCATTGTTTCTCATCACTGGACTCCACTAAGAAGCGCCTGGCTCCATTTTCTTTTACACCCTCCCTTCAGATATTTATACACAGCAATAAAATTGCCCTGAGCCTCCATTTCTCCAAGCTGCCCATCTATGAAGTGCATATTGAATTCAGGGTGTTTTACGAGTCGCAGCTTAGTCTCTGCAGTGTGCTTGGCCGCGGGACACTGGACAGAACCTATCGCCGGGTGGACTTGTCCTTACTCTTTATGTGAACTGCACGTGACCTGGCTAAGCCACCGGGCAGGACTGCAGACTGCAGCGGTGCTCGGGTGTCTCTGTACACCAGCGCGTGCGTGGCTTGGTGTGTGCGCCTGTTCCCCCAGCAGAGCACGGAGAATGGTCACGATCCGCTCTGCAAAGCCCCCCGAGGGAGAGCTCAGCAGCACTGAACATGTACTGCAGCGTGCTGCACGTTTCATTTCTTCCTGGTCGGGTTTATCTGGTGCTTGCCCACATCCCGACTGAAATGGAAATCCGTTTTTGCAGATGTTTCAGTGCATCCAGTTATTGCAAGCAGGTAAAACAAATTTATTGCCATGGAAACAAGATTAATTTTTTTAATAAGCTGCAACACAGAGCTAATTTAAAGTAATCTGATAAAAATAAATAAGGAAAAAGAGACTCGAGGTAATATACTCAGCTGGAATGCTAGTGAGCTTCTGCCCAGCCTGCAGACCCTCTAGACTCGCCACTTACTAGTCTGGGTGTTGCTCATTGTGCTCCTCCGCTTTGGGAATGGAATTATTTGTCCATGTCACTGAACCAACGGAGGTGGGTTTTGCTCATTAGCTGCATTCCAATACGATAATAGGTATAGACTTTTTTTAAATGGATATGTATATTTGATGTATATTATTCATTTCATCTAAGAAGTGCCTTTGGCGCTAATCGTATTTTAATGACCTAGGAGACTTCGAGGGAAATATAATTAATACTCAGAAAACCTTCTGTATTTTTCTTCTGCAATGTGCAGTTTAATTAAAGGGAATGGATTAAAAAACAATATTAAAATTGGTTAAACATAAAAAAAAAAAAAAAGTTTTTTTCAATTGAAAACTTGTAGTGGAGCCATAGTTATTTTCAAAAAAAAAAAAAAAAAAAGGTATTTCTAAAAAGAGAGTGAAGACCTAATCTTTAAAACATTCAAGTTTGTGAAAATCATTCTTGTTTGTACAGTTTTTTTCCTGCTATTCCAAGATGTTTAAAAAGTCATTTCAGTTTTCATTTGATTTGTAAGGAAGCTATTTATTTTAGTAGTAAATTTAGTTTATTTCCTCTGATTATTTCTTGGGGTTGTGCCATCTTGGGGTTGAACCATGTATGGTTCTTCATACATATTATTCAGTCTCTCTGTATATACTTATAGAGTGGCTGTTCTTTATGTCTTTTTGCATTACTGTGATTTTCTCCTGCTGTAACAGAGCACGTTTGTGCTTCACCAATACTGTATTACACAAGGCCGTATAGAGACCCTGAGCTGTGATCATTGGACCCGAGCTGCCTCTGTAACTGGATGTTAATAACAATATTATGCTGCTTTTTAGTTAATTAGCCATGAGTGGCAGGTCCAGCAAGCTCCAAGAAATGCCAAAGCAGCTTTCCTTGGCTTTAGGGATTGGAGGTGGTATTTCCTCCGTGCGCTCTGCCGTGAGGTGTGTCACCAGCTTGCATTGGTTTTAGCATAACATTTAATCTGTGCTCCCGTGTGCAGCGCAGAAGTGACTAAGAGCTTCGTTTGCTCTTGGAAGTGTTTAATGCTTAACTCAGTGGAGTTAGAATGATGGTATGATTAAAAAATCCTGTCTCTTCCTTGATGTATGCCTAAAGCATGACAACTGAAAGCTACTTGATACTTGATTACAGGATTTGATATTTGTTGAGCCACAGAAAGACTCAGAAACGTTCCTATTACATGGTTTCATTCCTGGCCGTGAGATTCCTGGTCTCATCTTTCAGCTTTTTCGCTTAAGGCTGAAAGATGAGGCAGGAATGTATTTCAGTTAGCCCTGAACCACCGAGGAGGCCCTCATTCTAGCTCTCATTTTCCAAAGACAAGCAGAGTTTACCCAAGCAGTGTCAAGAAGATGGTGACACCCTTTTCTAAAATGTTGGGAGTAGCACGGTGTACTTTATAGCTCAGAGTTCACAAAAAGGAATTCGTGCAAGGAAGGGTAATATTCAAGTGGACTGTTTTGGGATTAGCATTAATCAGAATGATTTCTCCTTCTCACAGACCACCTGCATAGGAAGCCTGTTTAAAATACTGTTGATCCCATATGCTCCTTTGCCTGTATGGATGTAGCGTATGTAAAATATACTGTGTATAAAACAGCACGTTTGGCAGGCACTGTGCCATCACCCTGTATTTACCTTCTAGTAGATAAGGTGGATTATACCTGGGCAGCGCAGTACCGCAGTTCTCAAATGTGTGAGGGGATGCTTAAGTTACAGTTTACTCTTTTAATAATAATGGGAAGGAATCACGTGACTTTTCCGTATAAATTAGGAGAGCTTAACTGTTTCTCTCGTACATATCACAACAGGTGCATACAGCTGTAAAGACGCTGAAACTAGGGGTTACAGTTATAAACTGAATAAATACTAGGGAACGGCTTGTGGTGGTAGCCTCATGGGTTGCTGTGTGACTCATCATACTCCGGTTTGACTCGTA